GCACGACGACGAGGAAGCCATGGAATATACCTACAGATATAAGAAGATATATAACAAATGTCTGGCTCTTGTTAAACCTAAGGTCGCTGCGTCTAGTTCACCGACCAGTGAAGTGAGCTTCACTTCTAGCTCACACCATAGAATTAAAACTTCCAAGGATCTCGGACTATATCCCATTGGCCAGGAATCAGTTGAACACGTGGTGTTTGAAGGCCATACTAGTGAAAGTGTCAACCAATAATGCAGAGTCACTTTGGATCATGCATCAGAGAATTTTAAAATGGTCGCGAAGCCTCTTGATCAATAAAATATCTGTGGTAACTTACCAAGACTGAGCCGCGGGCCATGGTTGAAAGAACTCAAAGCCCGCAAAATCTGGTTCCTGATATTGGAAAGGATGACAAGAAAATTCAAATACTTCTAGGATGTGATGTGTTGGATTTATTTTAATGATGGAATCTTGTATGATGTCTAATGATTTGACTGCGTCGCAGACGCGTTTTGGATGGACTTCAATGGGAAAATATCAGCCAGGTAGTGACGTTTCACTCGCTCATTATGTTACAACGATGACAATTTCGGAGAGAAGTATAACCAATCTGTGGAATCACGATGTTCTTGGCATTATGGATCCTATTGAGGTTAAACATAGATATCAGAGAGACGCATTGGCGCGTCGATATTTTTCTAAGAACAGTCCAACATTCTGTTTCTGGAAGATATGCTGTTTCCCTCCCGTGGACTGTAGAGAAAGCTAAAATCGCGGAAAAACAGGGAGATTGTTATGAAGAGATTAGAACAGACGACTAAGAAATTAATCTCTTTGAATATTTATGAGGACTATGATGATATTTTCCGAGGCTGGTAGGATGATGGAATAATTGAGAAAGTCTCAACTGAACAACACGACGTTGAGGTCTTCTACCTGCCTCATCATCCTGTGGTGAAACTCTCCAGTGGGACTACGCCTATCACACCTGTCTTTGATGCTTCTAGCAAGGTCTATAGATCCCCATCTTTAAATGACTGTCTTGAAAAAGGAACTAGCCTCATAGAGATGATTCCCAACCTTATGCATAGGTTTAGAAATGGCAAGTTTGGTTTTGTGGCAGACATTAAGAAAGCGTTTCTGCAGATTGAGGTGAATGAAAGGGGCATATATTACCTGCGTTTTTCTGTGGTATTCCAAAAATGGAGAATATACTGAAGTATTCAGACATAGACGTGTCGTTTTCGGTGTTAACTGTAGTCCTTTCATTTGAGGGCAGTAATCGAATACCACCTGTCTAATGTTCGACCTGAACATAAACCGTTAGCTCAGAGGTTGCAGAAATCCTTTTATGTGGACAATTTAGTCACAAACGTGAGCTCTTTTTAATAGAACAAGATCTCAAATTGACCGCAACGTCCATCATGGATAATGCTCGGATGGAGCTAAGCCGTTGGGAGCATAGCCTGGACGTGACCTCCGATACTTACCCCTATGAAAGAGCAGAGATATCTAAAGTGCTTGGTATTATTGGGATAAAGGTAAAGATTGTTTGTAATGTAGAATTTCCGTAGCCATACCCCCAAGATAACCAAAAGAAGTATCCTGTCCTGCTTAGCTCAGATATATGACCCTATTGGGTTTCTGAGTCCAATATTAATAAAGCCTGAAATTATATTGCAAAAAAGCTTGGACTCTAAAGTTGGCATGGGACGATGAATTGGACCGTCACTACAAGGATGAACTAAGCCTATGGTTCGACGACCTTCAACTGCACAAAGGCAAAAATTCCTAGGAATTTCAATCCATTGATGGTACCGCAGAAGGACTATAGATACACACTGTTGGATCCTATGTTAATAATTTCCTTAAATTCAATTTTATATATGAAAATTAAGCCAAAATCTCTAAATCAATTGTACAATATAAATCTTAATAAGTAAATTTTAAAGCAATCACATGTATGCAAATTTCTAGTTTGGTTAATTAATAGTTTTTTTTTGTTTTCTCTCTCTCTCTCTACCACTAGTATCAAAATCTAAGTCAAATTCAGTAATCTAAATTCATGTGTAGCTATTCATAACTCTAAAACCAAAGACAATAAAACTAATTCAAGACAGGTGCAAAGTGCTTCTTAGTATCTTTTACTGAACATTCATGCCACGAACAGTATGGTCCCTCATCGAGCCGGATACTTTAAAAAAATTAAGGTAAGCCATTTGAAAACTTAAAATCTTAAAATAAAGTCATGCCCAAATCAGAAGTATAAAAATTCGGCACAAATTCAACTTTTATTATTCAGGAAATAAAAAGATCTGGAATCAGAGAATAAAGCTATTGTAGAATCCAAAAACATAACCTGGATTAAAGCTATTCCAACAAGAAGTTAATGAAAGGAAAATTAGCCTAAATCAAGTTATCAACACATATTAGAATCAGAGTTAGATGATACACAATATGACGATTATTCAAAGGCCAAGAAGGATTTTTAATATGTTGTGTCTATTGAAGAGGCTTTATCTTTGATTGAAACCAAAGAAAATACTCATAGTGATAAACAACAGCCCGAATCCAATGTAATTTACCTAAGATAAATTACCCATTTTCAATGGTGATTCAGCCAATTGGCTTAGTTTTAGAGAAATATTTAACTCCACCATTAATTCAAATCAAACACTAACTGAAATACAAAAATTTCAATATCTAAAATGCATCTGTTAAGGGTCCTGCGAAAAGTTGATTTCGGGGTTTTCCCCATTTCTGACAAAAACTACCAGCAAGCATGGATACCTTATGCAATAGATTTAATAACAGAAGTGAAATTGGCTTTTTTTTCACAAATCAACAAAATACTCCATAAGGCCATTAAAATCTATTTCGGCTGGTTCTCTCTATGAAATCCTTGATGTTTGCAATGAAGGCATTAGAAATCTCTCAGTGCTAGGACTTGAGAAAAACACATTAACAGATCTAATCCTGATCAATTTTTTGAAAAAAGAATGGAGAAGCCCTCAGGAAAGAATGGGAATAACCCTTCAAAATGAAGAATATCCAACATATGAAAACTTTGTGAATTTTTTTAGAAAACATGCTAGAAGCCTGCAAGGTATGAGAATTCCTTTGTTCCAGGAACAAAAAAACCTCTAGCAAAAATATGATGGCTCACGGCCTTTATGTCAACAAAGGACAAAATAGTATTTTATGTCATCAAATTCATAAACTAAAGACTGCCAGTAGATTCATAAAACTTCCCTTGCCTAAAAAATGGAATTAGTTTAAAAACATAAACTTTGTCAAAATTGCCTTAGAGCAAATCATGAGAATCCAAATGTCTCACACATCAAGATGATAAAAACTGTCAAGCAGAACCATCATACTCTTCTGCATGAATACAACTCTGAACCATCCATCCACAACCAACAACCTCTCAAGAGATGTTGATAACAACAAATACCATCTGTAATGCGATGCCTTTGGAAACGGAAACAAATATTCAACTGTCAACAGCCCTTATTAAAGTCAAGGCGAAGGATGGCTCATTTTTGCTATGTAGAGCATTAGTGGACAATGGGTCCCAAATAAGCCTAATTTCAGAACAATGTTGCCACAAGTTAGGACTTGAAAAAAGGAAAAATTCTTAATACACTAAAAGGTGTAGTGACATTGTTGTCAACAGGACAACATCGCAGTTGAAATAGAGTTCACCCCACATCATAATGATCAATTATTTTCTGCCAGAGCATTGTGGTGGGAGGGTAACAGCAGACCCCAAACTTCCAAATTCAGTCAGCAGACTTTCCTCATTTAGAAAAATTTGCTCTTGGCAGACCCAGAATTCAATTCACCAAGCCCATAGACCTAATTTTGGGTTCAGATAACCTTTGTAGGAAATAATTCTAGGTCATAAAACAGATTTAAAGCACCATCCTATAGCACTTAATACCAAGTTAGGTTGGCTTGTTTCTGGAGAATCCATTCAACTATTAAGTCGAATACTTCGGTAATCAATCACTTTACCACTGAACTTGATTCCAGCATAAGAAAATTCTGGGAACTTGAAGAGTCCCAATTTCTAAGGCCCAGTTGGGTACAAAGAATGCCTGTGAGATATTATTCAAGTCAAACCTCAAAAGAGACATTGAGGGCAGATATTCAGTCAATCTCCCTTTTAAATCAACACCCAATTTAGGTGATTCAAGATCTCAAGCATTGGAAAAAGGGCTACAGGAAAATCCAAGTAAATCTGAAGATAATTCAAGTAAAATCTGAAGAAAATCTAAGTATATCCGAAATAATCCAAGAAATCTGAGAAATTCCAAGTAAATCTAAAAAGTCACGTATCTCTAAGTTAACTCCACAAATTACTTCTAAACAAAACCAATTACTTCCTCTGAATCAAGTCAACCATCCACTCCAGAACAACCTCTCGCTTCTCAGTCAGTGAACCACACTCTCTAAGAAAGAAACTTCGATTATTCCT